ACCGGTCTTTGAAGGCCTAGCGGCAGCATTCATGGTGGTATTCGGAATCAGCATCGTCGACTACCTATAGTCCAGTCGGTTTCGTTGAAAAAGCGATTTATCAGTTGGGGATCATTCCTCGTGAGATCAGATTTCAAAGCGTATGAAAAATGAGTGAAATATGAGCGACTTTTGGTAATAGGCTAGGTATGTCTACCTAATTGAAAAAAATGTCGGTCGAAAAATGTGGTCTCGCGCTCGATTTTTGTTTTTTCGAATGATCTCATCCATCGAGAGTCCATATTCAGAAGATAATTCTGACAAATTTAGACAAATGTGTTTATTCTCGTTTTGGAGACAATCGCCATTTAATGTAAATGATCGTCCGCCCACAACGGGTTCACTCATAAAAGGGACGAATTTTTCTTTATCAAAAGCTGAACTTTTTAGTTACTGAGAAAAAATGGTTTTATTGAAGAGATTGGATGGTTGATGATCTCAATCATAAATGCCTCGTATTTTTTTTCTAAGTACTCCTGAACGTTTCTGACGGCGTATTCGTGTTCGCCAGAGTCAGTTCTATCTGATCTTGCCTTCAGAATATAAAAACATAGGGTGGCAGATATAGTTACTTATCCGGCGATGTCCTTTTCGATCAAGAATCAAACGTGAACATAAAACACAATTCTTTTCTCTCAATGACGTAAAAAAATTTGTTCAAGTATGCTCGTATGTCCATATAAATAAGAAAATTGGCAATGTCAAACGAAATCGATTTGTTTTAAAGAGTTTTTTCGTTATGGATATTATATGCTATTAACTTTGAGAGTTTTTACTAGCTTTGGTATTCATGGTGACTTCTCATTTTGGAATCAGAGCATAATGTGAGCATCACGAAAAAGAGGGGCAAGTACAGTCAAAAATGCCTCATGTCCAAGTCAAGTCCGACTTGACTTAGCAAAAATTTGTAATGACTCTGACTTGACTGACTCGGAGAATCTTGTGGTTGACTTGACCTGACTTGACTTGAGACTTGAAAAAGTCCTGACTTGTCGACCTCTGCACCACTACATGGATTGCTCTATTGTGTTGAAGGAACGGTTCAAAAATAGTCTCAGACTATTTTCTACTCAAACAATTATGATAATTGAACTCGAAAAAAATTATTTTTACATAAATGACTTCTATTCTTCTCGTATATACATAGTCATTTCAGTTGTAGTCAACCTACCAAATTACTCGTTGAACACGTTTTTTGATGTTTTATATTATGCATATTAAAATTATTTCTCTATTGTTGTTAGATTTACAATATATCTTATTACTTTCGTGAAGTAAATCTATCTAAATTGTTCCGAGATATATTTAGACAAAACAGTGTTTATCAAGAATTACAGAAAGTCTTTACTTGTAAGTTAAAAATGGGTTATAAATATAAAGATAATTTCCAAACTAATGCTCGCTTCAAATCAGTATTTTTGATTAAGAGGGATGAAAAAGAATGATATTTATTCGGCCAACACAGAAGCCGTTACTCATGAAAAAATCTTTCCTTATTCACTGAAACTTTTCCCACCTCGTAAAACGCTGCTTCAAATCTTAGCATGTTTTACTAGGTGCAAAACAAGGTACCAAGTCTCCTAACGAATCTTCAAAACTCCGTTGTTGATGTACGATTTTAAACGTTAGAATGATGTTTATTTTCATATGACTTGTTGATGTTTTCATTTGATATTCATACAGCTAGATTCTCATGTAAATACATACACCTACACAATGATACTTGACAACAACAAAAAGAAATACGTTGCAAAAGTGCAGAAAAACAGATTATGTCTAGTCGTCAACCAAGAAGATACGTTTACAACGATAAAAAATTTTAAAATTACGTTTTTTTGAAGAAAACGATGAAATGAGAGTCAAAGAGAGAATAAAAATACACAATCAGTAACAAACAATGCATAAATAAAGATCTAAATGGCAGTATTTTGTCATGAATTAAAAAAAGTAACAGGAAAAATACAATAACTATACACACACAAAAGCGAACGTAAATGAAGCATATCTGTTGGAGGAAAAAAAAGTTTACAGTTTAGTGATGCTATGAGTATTTTATTGACTGATGCCAGTTACCGGTCGATTTAGATAGATCGTGAAATAAAAAAATCTGAAACAAGCTCAAAAATATCCGTCTTAAAAACACATACACATACACACATGATCTTAAATGTTTGTTTTTTGTTGTATATACAATACAGTAAGAGAAATAACGTAAAAAAATGGTTTTTTTACTGAAAAATATATATTGCTGTTGTAAAATCTAGAGAGGAATAAACAAACGAAATAAACATTCTCAAGCTAATTCTAATAATAATTTCGTTGCTGATTTTGTGAGCGATAATAATCATTCGTATTGTTGTTGTTATTGTTGTTGTTGTTGTATGTTGATCGTCTGTTGTAATTATTATCTTGACGACGTTGATAATACGAATTACCAAATGTTTCTTGATTTTTTGGTCGATAATTTGGATTTTGTTCAGAGATACCATCATTTCCTGTCGACATACTACACGAGATATTATCAAAAAAACTTTTTTTTTTATCATATGTATAGGTAACATTTGTATCTATGTCGCTGTTTATATTTTTCAATAATTTACTATGTTGAACATTATTTGTTTGTGATGATTCAGAATAATCTGCTAATGGACTCTGTTTATTGAATTCACTTTCACTGGCTATTTTATCAAATTTTTGATTTGCTAAAACAAAAAGTGAACATAAAAATAGAGAGAACTTGACTTTATTCGCAGATTCTCTCTTGTTATTCGGAAAGTTTGTAGGAATTTTTTTCAGTTAAACCTATCTGTTAACTAAATTAAATGAAAATTTCACTGCTTCTCAGTCGATGATCCGAAACGTCTTTTGAATAACTTTTTACACAGTAAAAACATCCACGTGTGGACTTTAACAAGCTTGGTTCATTAAATGAAATTTATGGTGCTATTTTAGAGTCGATCAATTTAATGTAAGTTAACTCTGTTTCTAACCCAAAATACTGGACACTTACATTGATCAAAATCAAAATCTGATTCAAACGGTAAATCATTGAATGTTTCTCGATTTTGTTTTGGAAACTGTTTTTGTTGGTAATTAGAATTATAGCGATTGTTTCCATGATTATAGAATTGGCGTTGTTGTTGTTGTGGTTGTTGTTGTTGATATCTTTGCTGATGCTGATAATTTGATTTTCCACCTTGATGATAATTATTTCCATGGGAAGAATAACGATTAAAACCACTATTATCGTCAAAATTATCGTTCTGTTGTTGATGTCGTCGCATCTGCATTTGAGAATAGGGACGATTTCCGGAAAATGATTGATTATTATCATTATCATTCGATAATAAATCATTTGTTGTTTGCGTTGAATGAGTTATACAATGATTAGCAAATGATTCGTTGTTCTTAGAGCCACAATAATCATTGAACGGTTGAAAATAACGATTAGTAGCATCCGTTGATAGATGATTATTAGATTTTGAATTAAAATTATCAAAAAATTTGCTGGTAGTTGAACCCGATTGTGGCTGTCTTGGTTCAGTTTCCCATTTTGACTCAGTACCCAAACCATATTCTAAAATAAACAAACGACACAGACGAATTAAAAGTTAAACATAGTGCTCAGTTTGATGCCATATTTACTGAGACTCAGTGCTCGTATATTTCATCCCGTTTGCTCCTGCTTGCTCCCAAAATATGAATGAGTGGCATCTTTGTTAAAAACTAATCAGGAGCTAGAACAGAAGTCAGAGATCAATGCATTTAACGTGCATCTTTACTACAAAATATAAATATTCTATTCAACACTTACCCTTTCGATTATCGAAATTTCTTTTCTCTGATTCACCATTAACCGATGAGAGTTGTAAATTACGTAGAGCATATGACATTGTTTGATTGGATGATGTATTAAACAATGGCGCATTTTGTTCAGATTTCTTATTCGTTACAACACTCAAAACAGCAGGATCATCATGTATCGATGAAATAGCACGAGGAGGAGGTGATTGATGTTCTTGAGTTTGTTGAACTTTTTCATCATTATCACCGATTTTCAAATCTTCTATATCAGCATTATTAAATGACATTATCTAGAAAGCGTAATAAAGGTACTTGCGACTTCAGGAAAACGAGTATAATGCCAGTTGTAGCCAGATGAGGGAAAAACCTTACCGACAAATATGTTGGGTTTGTTGTTTGTGCACTGCCTTCGGGACCATAACATTTGACAGAGCCGAGTAACATGGCTGATGAATCTGTATCAATTCCAATAATTGTGCCTGCATAACGAATTTTTGACTTTGTTATTAACGTTATGTTAGAACCGATGAAACTTGGCATTTCTATCAAGAAAAGGGTGACACGTTCAAAGTAGAAAAAAACAGAGTGAACGACAGAAGTTTAAACCGAAAATAAGATCTGAAACAAAAAACAAGTACAATCAGAACAAAAGAAAAGATTAATCAGACATATTCCCACAGAGACATAAGTAAAATAAGAGCTTGTCTCAGATGGGAAACTTCAGACTCTTCGGTCGATTAGAGCATTCCAAAAGTTGTGTTGTACTTTCAGCATAGTGTACGCTGGATACTTGTGCAGTTTAGACACATTCTTATTCATTCCGACGTGATGTTGTATAAGCGTATAATTGAACTGTACAAGCATCGGATCAGAAAGTTGCGATACATTTTGAAACCTGCTGTTGATGATCTCACGGGGTGTCAAGCCATTCCAAAAATATTCGTCTTTTCCTGCTGGCATAACATCATTGATTAATTATAAATTGACAGACGGTCTTTTTGAAATCTCCCGTCAACTTATGATTGTTTTCGACTGCTATTGAGAGACAAGCCTCGGTATAACAGAACAGAACGAAGATTAGTCTTATTGTATTAGACAGAAAATGGCAAATAAAATTTTCCTATGCTTTACCAGATCTGTTCCAAAATGAAAGTGTACTAAGTACCATTACGTTCCTAGTAGTGCGTTCAGAAATAAACGTGCATCAGTGTGCTATGATTTGAAATTGAGTAACAAAAATAATTTGGTCAATTTCACTCACTCAGTACCGACTTCATTATCCAATCAGAAAAAGCAGTTTTCTCATTAATAGGAATATAATATAAGAGGAAATGCAAAAAGACAGTTTTAAAGCATTTGCTTTGTTGCATGTCTCCGAAAATGAATCTTCTTTTGAATAAAAAAGATCAAGGTTAAATTATTTTCGTTTATAATCGATCTTATCTAAGATTAGATTGGATAATTAAACGCAGCATATAAACGATTTTATTTCAAAACGTTGTAAAAATACTACCAGCAATATACCAGGGACATTGCTCTTGCTTGTCGACGCAAGTTAGGCGCACTGAGCCGTGTCTTTGCACTCGCTTCGTCAGAGGCTCGGCGTCGAATCTATCTTTCTTCTATTCTTCCTAAACTTGATTACCGTTGTATCTTATTCGATAGTTCGTTTTTGCTTTCCGTACTCGATTCTGTAAATAATCTTGCTTCTCGTGTTATTTCTCGTAATTTTGACTATCGCTTTTCTAGCTCTTTACTTGTGTCACAATTTTCTCTTTCAAACCTCTCTCTTCGCCGTAAATATTTTCGACTAGTGCAGTTTTTCAAAATTTATCATCGTCTTAGTCCTCTTTCTATCTTTAACTCTATTCATCGTCCTCATTACTCTTCCTTACGCTGTCATCATTCTAAATATGTTCGCATTCCAATCTCTGTCAATGGTTTTTCTTCTCAAACAGTTTTATCTTCTTATTACTATTCAACTATTACTGACTGGAATAAACTTCCTGAGTCAGTTATTTGTTTTTCTTCATTAGTGTCTTTCAAAAAGGCACTAGTTCAGTATCTCTTACAGAAAAATATCAGCCGTGTTCCTAGTCATAATTAACTGGTATTGGTTGTTTTTCTAGAATTATTTTATTTGTGTCTATGTTTTATTGTTACTTTTATACCCTCGTTGCATATTCTATTCGCTTTTTCTTTTCTTTTGTTTACTTCTGTTATTATTTTTAGTTTTATTTATATTATTTATTTTCGTTTTTGCTTCCCTATCCCTTTTTATTCTGGTCTGAGTCATCGATGTTACAGGTCATGGACCTTTGATGACTCTCGAGTGATTCGAATAAATAATAATAGGTACATAATAGGTCTCACTGTTCTTGATTCTGTAAACAAACTCGCTTCTCGTGTTATTTCTCGCAATTTTGATTACCGTTCTTCTAGTTCTCTACTTGTGTCTCATCTTTCTCTTCCAAATCTCTCTCTTCGTCGTAAATACTTTAGACTTTTACAGTTTTTCAAAATTTATCATCGTCT